GAGTATCTGGCTCCGCGGCTTCGACGAGCGGCAGGAACAACGGACCCACAGGCGACAGGCACAGCAAGGCTCTCTGGGCTACCGAGAGCACGACGGCTCCGGACTACAGGCGCTGCTCACGACACGACGGTGACCTCCGCTCAACCTCCCCTAACTGTCCCACACCCCCTTTTCACACACCCCCTTGCTGCACCCCTAGATCCACTCCTCACACTACACCCCCTAGCGCCACTCCCTCGGCTCCCACACATCCACCCCCCTCAGCGGTAGCTGCAGCAGTGGGAGACGGAGGGGGAGAAGGAAGGGACGACGCACACATATCACCCCCACACCCGCCACCCCCACACCCTCCTGTCCAGGGGACCCGGGGGGGGGGGGGGGGTGCGGAGGGGCGGGGCGGTAGAGCAGGAAAGAGCGCGCGAGGGCGCAGGTAGAGCACAGCGCACGAGGGCGCGGGTGAGACAGAGCGCACGAGGGCGCGGGCAGCAGCAGAGCGCACGAGGGCGCGGGCAGCAGCAGAGCGCACGAGGGCGCGGGTGAGACAGGGTGGCTGCACAGGGTCCAGGAGCGGCGTCGCGGGCAGCTGCAGGGTCGGCTGCTGCAGTGGCGGCTGCTCCAGGGGCCAGGGGCGGCTGCTGCAGTGGCGGCTGCTCCAGGGGCCAGGGGCGGCTGCTGCAGTGGCGGCTGCTCCAGGGGCCAGGGGCGGCTGCTGCAGTGGCGGCTGCTCCAGGGGCCAGGGGCGGCTGCTGCAGTGGCGGCTGCTCCAGGGGCCAGGGGCGGCTGCTCCAGGGGCGGCTGCTCCAGGGGCCAGGGGCGGCTGCTGCAGTGGCGGCTGCTCCAGGGGCCAGGGGCGGCTGCTGCAGTGGCGGCTGCTCTAGTGGCCAGAGGCGGCTGCTGCAGTGGCGGCTGCTCTCGGGGCCAGGGGCGGCTGCTGCAGTGGCGGCTGCTCCAGGGGCCAGGGGCGGCTGCTCCAGGGGCGGCTGCTCCAGGGGCCAGGGGCGGCTGCTGCAGTGGCGGCTGCTCCAGGGGCGGCTGCACCAGGGGCGGTCGTTCCAGGGGCGGATGCTGCAGGGGCGGCTGCTCCATGTGTGGCGTCGCTGGCACAGCGGCGGCCCGCACGCTGCTGCAGGGGCGGCGTCGCGAGCTGCTGCAGGGGCGGGTCGCTCGCTGCTGCAGGGGCGGGTCGCGCGCTGCAGCAGGGTCGGCGACGAGCCCCCCGAGGACGCCGCGACGGGCGACGGGGGGAGCAGCGGGCGGGCCCCCTGAAGGCGCCGCGACGAGCGACGGGGGGGGGGGGGAGCGCGAAGGCCCCCCCGAAGACGCCTCGACGGGCGACGGGGGGCCGCGCGCGTGCCCCCTGAGGGCTCCGCAACGGGCGACGGGGAGGGCAGCGCGCAGGCCACCCGGGGGCGCCACGACGGGCGACGGGGGGGGCAGCGCGCAGGTCCCCCGGGGGCACCTCGACGGGCGACGGGGAGGGCAGCGCGCAGGCCTCCCTGAGGGCGCCTCGACGGACGGTGAAACCGCCGCGCGCTCAGAAAAAGCCGCAACGCGCTCGGAGCGCACGGCGGGAAGAAAAAAATGCAGCGCCCCGCACCACGGGGCGCGCGGCGGACAGTACGGCAGCGGAAGCAGTTGGTGGGCCCGTTAAGCTAGGCGGCAGGAACATGCTCGCTCTAGATACCATGTTGAAATAGTAGGCGCAGTGGAGACAAGGGTTTAGGTAGGGCCTAGGCTTAGAAGCCTAGGCCAAGTAGGAAACTTAGGGTTGTGCCAAGAGGAAAGTGAAGAATGAGGTGGTTTGACTAAAGCAGAGCAAGTACAAATAGTAGAGAACCAGCCACGAGTGGTGCACCACCACATAGCACATTAGATAACTACTCTACAGCTAGAACTGCATGCACTTATACAAACATATATAAACAAGATATGTTCTGACAGACAGGCGCGCCAATGAACCTTTCTAATGAAATGATAGACCTGGATCCTCTATTTAAAACTCACAGACATGCATTGATAATGCAATCATAGATGGATTTAGATGCTCTCACACACATACAAACATAACCACACACATGCACACGCTCACAAACCTCTGCTCAAACGAAACAAACAAAAAACATGCAAGGGAATTTTTCCAAAACAAAACAATTTCCAAAACAAAACAATTATCATACCGATCATAAACCACTGTTAACTTTTCACATTCCAATTTCAACTTGACTTATCGAATGATACAGCAAAGCCTCTGGAGAGAAAACAGAGAGAAAATGGGAAACAGAATGGGCAAAAGGGGGAAATAGATTATGAGACAACGAATAAAACCAATTAGGAAATCAAAGTGAAGTGAATGCGAAAGAAGGTCGTGACAGAAAAGAGAAGGGATGTCAAAGAAATGAAATATAACATATGAATGAATGGAATGAACCAAAATGAACAACATACTAACAACGGTGATTTAGGGAAGCGGAAAGAGACAAACACACACAACACAACGAGTGGTTAAATACGAAACTATGAGAATCAGAAGATGAATACACACAACAGAATGAAAGAACCAGAGAGAGAGAACAAGATACACACAACAGAATGAAAGAACCAGAGAGAGAGAACAAGATACACACAACAGAATGAAAGAACCAGAGAGAGAGAACAAGATACACACAACAGAATGAAAGAACCAGAGAGAGAGAACAAGATACACACAACAGAATGAAAGAACCAGAGAGAGAGAACAAGATACACACAACAGAATGAAAGAACCAGAGAGAGAGAACAAGATACACACAACAGAATGAAAGAACCAGAGAGAGAGAACAAGATACACACAACAGAATGAAAGAACCAGAGAGAGAGAACAAGATACACACAACAGAATGAAAGAACCAGAGAGAGAGAACAAGATACACACAACAGAATGAAAGAACCAGAGAGAGAGAACAAGATACACACAACAGAATGAAAGAACCAGAGAGAGAGAACAAGATACACACAACAGAATGAAAGAACCAGAGAGAGAGAACAAGATACACACAACAGAATGAAAGAACCAGAGAGAGAGAACAAGATACACACAACAGAATGAAAGAACCAGAGAGAGAGAACAAGATACACACAACAGAATGAAAGAACCAGAGAGAGAGAACAAGATACACACAACAGAATGAAAGAACCAGAGAGAGAGAACAAGATACACACAACAGAATGAAAGAACCAGAGAGAGAGAACAAGATACACACAACAGAATGAAAGAACCAGAGAGAGAGAACAAGATACACACAACAGAATGAAAGAACCAGAGAGAGAGAACAAGATACACACAACAGAATGAAAGAACCAGAGAGAGAGAACAAGATACACACAACAGAATGAAAGAACCAGAGAGAGAGAACAAGATACACACAACAGAATGAAAGAACCAGAGAGAGAGAACAAGATACACACAACAGAATGAAAGAACCAGAGAGAGAGAACAAGATACACACAACAGATAAAAGAACCAGAGAGAGAGAACAAGAGAGAGAGAGAGAGAGAGAGAGAGAGAGAGAGAGAGAGAGAGAGAGAGAGAGAGAGAGAGAGAGAGAGAGAGAGAGAGAGAGAGAGAGAGAGAGAGAGAACGAGAGAAAAACGAGAGAAGAAAGAACCGGAATGAACAACATACTTATAACAACGGTAAGACACAATAAGAAACGAAGAACGGGAGAGAGAGAAGGAACCGAGAGGAGGGAGAACCGAGAGGGAGAGAGATAAGGCATAACCGATGGAGATAGAAGGAACGGTAAGAAACAACAAAAAAACTGGAATACGCGACAAAATCGAGGTAGACAAAACGGAATGAAAGAGAGAATGATACTGTCAGAATCCCAGCCACTAACCACTGGGATAAAAGGGCTTGTTTGTGTAGCGGGTGAGTGCGCCCATAACCCCCCAGGCCGACGTGCCTGTAACCCTTCCCTAGGATCAATCGGGGATCACAAGTGGACCTCTGACAGATACAACAATAAGGTAGGATGATACATCATCTTCTGGTTAACATATACGTCTAGATCTAGTTAAAAAAAAAACTCTCAACCATGATGAGTTAAACTAGGACCCAATCTCAACTAGAATGAGCTTAAGAATAGAGAGAATAAGGCTTACCTTAATATGAGCTATAGTCTGGGGCGTGAGTAGCATGAGTGGCGTGAGGGACGGGAGAAGGTGGAGTAATCTGAGTAGGTGGAAGAGAAACGACGCAAAAAGGAATTTGACGAAACCCTAGGATGGGACCTCTTTCATCGGTTTTGCAATCGAGCCTGGTTCTTGTTCCGTTTTGTACTTTTGTTGTTTCAGATTTCCAGCCACCATAAAACTAGATAATCTGAACAGAATAAGAATAACTTAACATAAAGATTCTTCTTAACATTCAGAATCTATATCCAAAACGACCACACCCATTCATTTATGTAACCCTAAATTATATGTCAAATGTATATGTAAATAGCAGTAATTCATCAAATATCAAAGTCATGTTACGATATTATATAATTCTTAATATAGGTCAAGTGCATCTAAAAATTGCAGTGTAATGTTGCTTCGCAACCCTAAGACGATTTCGTCGCCTCTTGTTTTTCAATTTAATCTATGGAAACAGGTTATTGGTAATATGAGTGGCTCCTCTGAGGCTACTACTACTACAAGAAAACAATGTCAACAAGAAGACAACGGAAACAACAAAACAAGGAGCATCATGCATTTAGTAAAGATCCCCTTGTTAGCATCAATGCTAACAGCTCAGCAACTCGCGTAGCCTGTTCAGTTTGGAGAAGGAAAACGTATAAATAAGGAGAGCACAAATTATCTTAAACAGCAGTCGAGGATAAACATACAAGGGGGGATGGAGGAGGGGACATGTGCTATGAAAGGTCAAGGTCCAAGCATCCTTCTCAAATTTCTTCTGAAGATGACATGTAAATTGACTCAACCTCTCACCTCACCTGATCAAATAGCTTCTGTTGTTCTCACCTGGTCAGCAGTGGCTGCACGTTGTAGGGGAACAGCCCCAGGTGCTGCAGGCGAGAGAGCTGCATGTGCAGCTGAGCAAGACACCTGAGAGAATCCACCACTGTGGAACTTGTTAGTCCTGCTGGGGAGCACGTGACTGTAGACGGTGTGACTACAGCAATATGGGTTGGCCCAATCTCATTCATGTTCGTGTCCCTCTCTTCCTCTTTCTCCTCTCCCCCATCTTTGTTTTCTTCCACCTCTTCCTCCGTTTCTTCCTCTTCCTCCTCTTCATCTTCTTCCTCATCTGCTTCATCCCTCTCCTCTTCCTCCATCTCTTCCTCGTCCTCTCCTCCCCCCCCTTTCCCTTCCTTACTCCAGCCGACACTCATATCAAGCCAATATTCCTTTCCATCACCACCACATCCCACTGTCTCCATCCACCTCTTTCTCACTCTCCTCCCCCTCCCCTCCTCCTGTTCCTCCAGCTGACGTTTGCATGTCCTTCGAATAACCTCTCTCACTTCCTCTCCCCCACTGCTAGGCTCCCCCCGCCCTTGCCTCTCTTCCTCTTCCTCTTCCTCTCCCTCTCTGCTGCACTCCTCAACACTCACCCCTTCTTCTCCCTCCGCCCATCTCTTATGTTCGTCTTCTTCATCCTCACTCAATTCTTTACCCTCTCCCTCTCCCTCGCCCTCTCCCTCGCCCTCTCCCTCGCCCTCTCCCTCGCCCTCGCTCCATTCTTCTTCCCCACTCCCGCCTATGTGGTCTCTCTGGCCCCTCTCCCTTCCACTCTCCGACTGCTCCCCCACTCCTCTTATAGATGACCCTACACACTCTACCCACAACGCATGGCCAATCCTGTGCTTCCACGTGGCAGCTGCTGCAGACAGGCACCTGTGGAAGCGAGAGTGGTGATGCCAACAACGGAAAGGAGAGGGCGGGGGTACGGATAGGGTACGGTCAAGAGGTGTGGGTTTAGGAGGGTCTGAACGGCATGGGGCACACGAGCCAGGCATAACATAACAGCATTACAAGCCTTTAACCTTCACAAACCATGTAGTGCTGGAGGCACAAGTGAAAGTAACTCCCAGCAGCAGCAGCGGCAGCGGCAGCGGCGGCGGCGGCGGCGGCGGCGGCGGCGGCGGCGGCGGCGGCGGCGGCGGCAGCAGCAGCAGCAGCAGCATCATCATCATCATCATCATCATCAGCAGCAGCAGCAGCAGCAGACGAGAGCAACACTCACATCGGCAGCACTCACAGCAGCAGCAGGCGAAGGCAGGAGGGTGCAGTGGCAGGCTGCATGAGAAGGTCAACAACAGCCGTGGCATCAAACCCCATCTGCTGCAACCAGCACGCCAGGATATCCCCCTCCCCCAATGCCTCCCACCACCCCTGTAACATGTTCCCCTCCCTGGCTGCTGCTGTCTCTGCTTCCTCTGCTTCCTCTGCTTCCTCTGCTGCCTGATCTGCTGCGGCTGGTGCCTCTGCTGTCTCTGCTTCCTCTGCTTCCTCTGCTTCCTCTGCTTCCTCTGCTTCCTCTGCTTCCTCTGCTTCCTCTGCTGCCTGATCTGCTGCGGCTGGTGCCTCTGCTGTCTCTGCTCCCTCTGCTCCCTCTGCTCCCTCTGCTCCCTCTGCTCCCTCTGCTCCCTCTGCTCCCTCTGCTCCCTCTGCTGCCTGGTCTGCTGTGGCTGGTGCCAGTGCTGCTGCTCGAATCACTGCAGCACCAGCCACGGGAACTTCCGACTTGTGTGCTGCCGCTGCTAACCCTCTAGACTGCATGGATGCTGCGAGGCACTTGATCTGATTTGATATGGACGCGAGCAGTGATAGGCCGTCCAGCAGCACATCATCCTGTGGGTGGTGGGATGGGAAAGAGGAGAGACAGCAGTGTTGGCATTGGCACTCCACAGCATCTCACCGAGAACTCAAACCCGTCCTGCAGGAGTTTCAATCTGATGACTCGCAGAAACAAGCTGTCCTGTCCAGTAGCACATCATCTTGTGGGCGATGGGATGGGGATGCGGAGAGACAGCACCGTCGGCAGTCCACGGCATCTCCCTGTTGATCTAAATCCACAAGGTGGAGGCCTCCACCTTGTATATTGAAATCACTCATGAGAATTCTGAAAAGTGATTTCAATATAGCCTCCACCTTGTATATTGAAATCACTCACTTTTGAGAATTCTCAAAAGTGATTTCAATATAGCCTCCACCTTGTATATTGAAATCACTCATGAGAATTCTGAAAAGTGATTTCAATATAGCCTCCACCTTGTATATTGAAATCACTCATGAGAATTCTGAAAAGTGATTTCAATATAGCCTCCACCTTGTATATTGAAATCACTCACTTTTGAGAATTCTCAAAAGTGATTTCAATATAGCCTCCACCTTGTATATTGAAATCACTCATGAGAATTCTGAAAAGTGATTTCAATATAGCCTCCACCGTGTGGATCTGACCGACTAGGAGGGATAGAGCATCCCATCCCATCCAGTAGCACGTCATCCTGTGGATGGGGAGAGACAGCAGTGTCGGCATGCTGTTGCTGCGAGCAACTAATCGTGCCGCATGGAGAAGTGTGACTCAAAGCAAGTCGACGCGGGTCAATGCGGGTCAACGCAAGTCAAGACGGCCAACCATGCTGACCTCGTGTGAGAGCAGATCCACGATGGGCGGCAGAGACAGGTGCAATGGGCAAGCTCCCATGCCCCATGCTGCTGATGCTTTCTGAGATCGAGTCAAGGCGAGTCAAGGAGGCCAACCATGCTGACCTCGTGTGAGAGCAGATCCACAATGGGCGGCAGAGACAAGTGCAATGGGCAAGCCCCAACGCCCCATGCTGCTGATACTGATGCTGTCTGAGAGTCAGGGGCTGTGAGCGAAGCAGCTGCAGGGAGGAGGGTATAAGCGAGGGTAGGGATAAAGACAGGCAAGATAGGTGGGACTAGATAATCTATGATTACTGATTGAGGCGCCTCAAAACTCCGTAAGTCACTGCACCACCCACCCACCCACCCACCCACCCACCCACCCTTTCTTCCATGCCTTTTGAGCCGACTTCAAAGTCTACTGATTGAGACGACATGCTCAAGAGACAATCATCTAACAAGTACCCATGCATGATTGAAAGGACGTGCTCCTTTTGAAGACACTGTACCCCCCACCTGCTGCCATGCCCCACCTGCTGCCATGCCCCACCTGCTGCCATGCCTCGCTGCAGCAGCTTCAACGACTGCCACACCACACCCTCCCCTTCCACTGCAAATTCCCCCATTGTTCCGCTGCCATTGATACTGCCACTGACTGCACCGCTCAGTAGAGTCTCCAACCTCCCCCTTTCCGTCCCCTCAAAAGCCCAGTTCCCTCTCACCCCAGCAGTTCCCACCCTTGCTGTTTCTTCCCCTCCCTCTCCCATCCCAACTTCACCCACCCCTCCCTCTCCCCCACTCGTCCTTGCCCCTTCTCTCCCTGCCTCATCCCGCAAGCCCTGGTTGGATACGTGTTGAGGCGAGCGGTGAGTGCGGGAGAGGAGAAAGTGTGCGGTGTGGAGTAGAAGCAGCAGCTGCAGGCGCAGTAAGTGGGCCGCAGAGGACGAGCCCGTAATAGCAGCAACAGGGCCGGCAGGAGCGGCAGGAGCAGCAGAGGAACCAGGAGGAGAAGCAGCATGGGCATTTGAAGCTAGTCTAGCAGAGTAGAAGACCCAGCAGGGGGGTGAGGGAGGGGACGAGGTGAGAGAGTGTGTGTGGGGGAGGAGGGCGGAGAGGTAGGTGATGATGGTGTGAGAGAGAGGAGGGTGAGAGGGGAGGAGAGGTGCGCACCGCAGCAGCAGCTTCTGAAAGGAGCCTTCGGGGGATGGGGAGGGGAGGAGAGAGGAAAGGGTGTGAGGCTGAATGAATCCAAAACAGACAGTTGTGAAGGTAGAGAGAATAAAAGAGAAGAAGACAAAAGTCACATATGAGGATTCTAGAGAATAATATTAGAAGATATGAGAAGCAATGAATGTAACACAAACAGAGGCTGACAACAAGCGCGTGAGAATCACCATCTCACAGGCACAAAACACGCAGGGCTTCCTAGGAGGAGCAACCACTAGTGGGAGCGAGCGAGCATGGAAGGAACGGAAAAAAAGGTTCAGCGAGAGGAGGAACGAGGGAGAAAGGGAGGTGTGTGCGTGTGCATGGAGGGAAGGGAAAAGCTTTTGAGAATTCTCAAAAGCGATTCCCAAAGAGGAACGAGGGAGAAAGGGAGGTGTGTGCGTGGAGGGAAGGATGACGCATTACCAGGGATTTATGGCCAAGGTAAAGGGAGTGGCCGCGGCCAGGAGGGCAAGGGGGGTCACGCGAATTTGATGGGGCACGGGCGAGCATGGGGAGGAGGCAGTGAGAGACCCATGTCTGCACCACTGCCAGCGCGCCTCCTGGCCCCGGCGGTGACTGCACCACTGCCAGCGCGCCTCCTGGCCCCGGCGGTGACTGCACCACTGCCAGCGCGCCTCTCAGAGATAAACACGACTCTTGAGTCGCCTCATCACGCGCTCCCATCAGCACACGCTCAGCAAAAGCTGCTCTCCTCTCCTTGCTGCTGCTCCCACCGTCCCTTTCCCTGCTGCTGACATCAGCCTGTCCGTTGCTGACATCAGCCTTTCCGTTGCTGACATCAGCCTGTCCGTTGCTGACATCAGCCTGTCCGTTGCTCACACCAGCATAGTCGCCACCGCCGCTATCAACACCAGATTTATTGCTTGTGGTACTGCCTGTGTCGGTACCAGGCTTCTCAATGCCTCTGGCGCCATTGCTGTTGGCGCCATTGCTGTTAACAACTGTACCGACACAGGCGGACAGCAGGCGAGACAACCATCCCACCGCCAGCTCTGCTGCTGCTGAGGCTGCTACTACCCCTGCTGATTCATCTGTACCCTGAAATTTTCCAGTATGTCCCTCCTGCTGCTGCTGTAACGACTGCCCCTGGCCCTGCTGCCCCTGCCACTGTTGCCCTTGCTCTCCTTGCTTCCCCTGCTGCCCCTGCTTCTGCCCCTGCTTCTGCCCCTGCTTCTGCCCCTGCTGCAGCAGCAAAGAGTGCGTTTTGGAACCAGCAGCGGCTAAGAGGCGAGTAAGGGAAGGCCATGGCGTGGCGTGCAGGAGAGCGAGGGCGGCCGAGTGGGCAAGAGAGGAGAGGCGCGAAGGGGAGGAGTGGAGGAGAGAGTGTGGTGAGGAGTGTGGTGAGGAGTGTGGCGAGGAGTGCTGCCGGCGTTTGAGTAGCGAGTGGAAGAGAGAGAGCGCAGCAGCACAGGGCACAGGCACGTTGGGAGTCGAGTGACGAGCAGTGACGGGAAGAGGCTCAATTGTGAATCTGGTATTTCTGCCCCCAACGGTCGCTCCCTCTGCTACAGCCGGCACAGCGGGCGGGAAGGCAGGAGGGCAGCTTGGAATTGCCTTGGGAAGCACAGGGGAAGGCACGGAGGGAAGGCAGGCAGCAGGAGAGGCGCGGAGTAGCAGAAACCGCAAAGCAGGGGAGGGGGAGCAGCGTGGGGTGGGAGTGGCACCAGCAGCAGCAGCACCGGAAGCAGTGGCAGTGGCAGGGGAAGCGGCAGCAGGGGCGGCAGGGGCAGAGGTGGCAGCCACGATAGCAGCAACTGTGGCCTGCCAGCAGCGGGTTACCACTGCCGCTGCTGCTCCGTGCTGCCCTGCAGGCAATGGGGGAGCAAGGGCGTTTGGCGATTGAGAGAGGAGGGAATTGGAGAAAGGAATGAGACGGTTGGGGGGGGAGTGTGCATTTGAGAAACAGACAATGGATGGTCAACTTAACAGATTGGTTACAGATTCTTCAGACAGAGCGGAAGATACTCAGACAGACGGAGGGAAGGTGCGGGAACACGCACATTCAAGAGATGCTTGCCAAGAAGAAGCATGGCGATTTGTGAGCCTTAAAGCTCTAGGCCCAAATTGCGCAAGATTACTAATCTTGCGTAAGTTTGAGTGCTGAGGGGTGGGTTTGGCAACGTAAGAGTCGAGGGGAGTGTTGGGAAGATGACCTGTCTGATTTCGACCAATCAGATTGCATCGCACCTACTGTAACCAAATTTTCGCCACACACCAGCACAGAAAACGAGAAGTGTGCAAGATTACTAATCTTGCCCTGCGCGGCCCGCAATTTGGGCCTTGAGCTTTAAGCGTCTCAAAAGTCGACTGGTGCATTGCTTTGACTTTGCAGGGTTTTTTTTTTAGAGTTCTCGGTTATTTGTAGAATTCTAAAAAAATCCCAGCAACATGAGGGTGACTTGAGTTGGGCGAGAGCACTGAGCAGAGGGTACTCCTATAGCAAACCCAAACGCCTTTATATCTTCTTAACAAATTGTGAAGGTAACACCGATGGTAATCTCCTGGATAATCCCGAAAGAGATCTCGAGGGTAAACCGAGGGTCATCCCAAAAGTATTGCTAAATTCAAGGGTAATCAACGGATAACCCCAAGGGCGGGACGGAGTGGTCTTGACTTGTGCGGATGTCCTGCCTCACTATTCATAAGTGGGCTTGAACACAGAGGCTAATTCAAAAGTTTCTCGAGAATGACGCCTGCATTGAATTGAACCAGGTACAAAGAGGCTACTTGCTTCTTAAAAAAAGATGACGGGCAAGAGCAGGGCTACCCTGAGCGTAGGTGAGTGCGTTGACCAGGGTAGCCCTGCGTTGACCAGGGCAAGACCGGGTTGCGTTGATGGGGTGGGCTTCAAGGACGTACAGAGAGGGCGGGCGAGAGCAGGGCGTCGCTGAGATTGACGGCTTGCGTTGACTTTGGTTGACTTCTATTGACTTCAGATGAGTTGATGGGGTGGGCTTGAAGCACGTACAGAGAGGGCGGGAGAGAGCAGGGCGTCGCTGAGAGTGATGGCAGCAGCGCGGGCAAGCAGGGGGTCCTGGGAGAACAGGAGAGCCATGACGTCATCTAATGAAATCTTGTCGTCATTAGATAAAATCCTGACGTCATCCGCGGACATGGGGACGTCATCAGCTGACGTCATCTCGAATCCTCCTGTTGCTCCGCGTGCCTCTCTCCCTCCTCCGCCGCCGTCACCCACTTTTACTTCCGCCTGGTCCATCTCATCTCCCCCCCTCCCCCTCTCAGTTCCATCATCGGCGCTAGTACCTGGATGTCCTCCCCCAACTGGTAACCCCCTTCCCCGTTTTCGTTGCTCTTCGCCTTCACAGCTTACTTCGTCTTTTTCGTCAACTAAATTGCTGCGCTGAGCTCCATTTGCCCCTTGGCCACTCGCCTTCATCTGTATTGCAACCAAAACGAAGAGCTTCTGCAAATTCCGCCTAACGTGTTCAAAATATCCGTCGCCTAGCAGGCTGCGGCCACCATGCAGGATATTCCGTCACCTAACCAGTGAAGTGGTACTGTAACTCGAGTGCCGAAACCGCCCAGTGCAGAAAGTTGACTGTCTAGCCACTGTTTCGATAGCGCGAATACGTCATCCTCGATTACATGTGCAAGCAAGTGCAATCCCACAATCTTGCCTTCCCCTTACACACCCCCTTCAACGCCACTCTCCCCTCTTCATCATCACTCTGGGGCTTGCCTCTTGAATTGCTTGAAGCTAGTAAACATAAAGTGCATCATTCTCATAATTGAAGCAAAAACTCAAATTACAGTACAGCCATGACACATACAACAGAAACTCCAGCTCTGTATGTTGCTGAAATGCTAGGAAGGGAAGTGAAGGAGAAATGAGACATATGGGTGTATGAGTGAAGCCCTAGTCACATCATGGGTGTCTGTCTATTCATTACTCAGCCAGCAGAGGCAGCTGCCCGCCATTAAAAGCAGTGAACTTGCAGTCAGTAGCAGTCACTCCCGACGTCTCATAATCCCCCACCTCCCCATCCAGAAACCCCTTCCCCTCCTCCCCATCTACCGACACAGGGTGGCGCAGCAGAGCAGCGAGCCTCGAATACTCCATTGTTCGCTGCTCCCTGCCACTGCGGTATGTCTGCCCCATCACCCCATGCACATGGCTGCTCGGATTAGATTCCACAAACATCAGGTTGATGTGCACCTGCGCGTCCTCAGGTGTTTGCAACAGAGGGTGCGCTGCGCGCAGCTTCAGCTCGAGCTCCAGGAGATTTTCCAGGTGGAGGGTGTACACATCCACGTCGAACGGGCCGGTCTTCTCCTGGCCCACAAAGGACAGAATCAGCCGCCCGTTGGAGAGAACGTGGCTCTCGCCAAGAGTGAGGCGCGGGAGAGGCTTGTTGTCAAGTGTGATAGATGCAAGGAAGCCTTGTTCACCGCGAGTCTGCTCCTTGCCGTCCCGTGCCGTGAGCACGAGAGAGTGAGACGACACAGCAGCGTTTGCACTAGCGCCGCTGCTGCTGTTGTTGCTCTCGCTGTCGTGCCACATGATTGCCAGCTGTCGGATCCACGTGCGAACCGCCGAGCCGTTGACAAAACGAGCCGCAGCCAGCATGCTATGGTTACCAGCAGCAGCAGTGGGTGCAAGTGCGAGGGGTCGTGAGTCAAGATAGCCACGCATGGCCATGTTGACGTGCACATGGCGGTCGGTGTAGAGGCAGAAGGAGCGGTTTGGCAGCCCGTTGAAGTCAAACCGCGTGCCGTGCGCGCCCAGGAAGTGCGGGTCGTTCTCGCCGTATGCACACCGCCGCCCCACGCGCACCGGGTTGCCGCCCGTGTTGCTGCCGCAGCGCCCCTTGCGGGTCCTCTCGGGCGCGAGGGCGTCCACGGCTGGGAGCAGGATGCACTTGCCTCGCTGCTCACATCTGCTGCTGCGGCGGCCACTGTGAGAGCTGGGAGACGGAGACCTGAAACAAGGAACGTGAAACGGAAGAGGTTGAGAGAGATGAGGGGGAGAGGACCAGTACCCATTGAATGTGATTGTCATAGAGTCCACAAGTTTGTTGGAAGGAGCATCGGAATGAGCACGGGGAAAACACAAACCGGTTCACAGAATGTGCAGCGAACCAGGCGAGCTGGCGGGTGGATGTAGGAAAGACTTCTTGAAACATTGAAAAAAACTTGTAAAAAGGGACGCGCAGCGCAGCTAAAGACGCAAGGCGGAGGTGGAAGGGGATGCACTCACGGGATGTGCACCCAGTGGCGGCAGTTGAAGGGAGTACCATCGACCGTGGTGTTAACGCTGCTGCATCGGCTGCAGCACTCCTTCACGCTCACCGCCGCCCCCGCACACCACGCCTCGTCCGCCTTGCGCGGCGCACCGCCGCCGCCACTGCTGCTGATGCTTCCCGTGCCGATGGAGCAGCGGCCATAGTCGGGCAGCTTCCAGTACCCCACCTCGCCCTAGTCGTTGCTACACCCGCCCCGCCCGCACAGCCCGCCGCCATGGCTGCTACCACCACCGCCATGCTCGCTCTCATCATCGCTGTCATTCTCGACCTCGTGCTCGCTGTCACGCTCGTCATCAGCAGACGAGCCGTCCTCGTCGTAGCCATGCCCCCGGCCGCCATGCCCGCCGTGGCCTCCGTCGTTTTCCTCCCTCTCGTCGTCTCTCCCGCCGCCAGGCGATCCGCCGTGCCGCGAAACGCCGTGGGGATCGCCGCTGCCGCCGCGCCCGCCAGCTGTTGCCGCGCCGCCGGTCACACTGCCGTCGCCGCCGCGCAGAGCGATCCCGCCCGAGCGGGGAGGCTTAGTCGCAGAAGCAGCGCCGGCGGCTGCTAATAACGCGGAAAGCGCGAGGAGGAGGAGAAACGCTCGGGTCATGATGGCGCCGAGGAGATCTTTTAACGGAACAACACGGAAATTAACAAAAGTCAGTTGTGCCGAACGGTGCTGTTTCTATCGAAGATATGAAATCAGGTTGCTACAACTCGGCGATGTGAATGATGCTCCCCCAAGAGCAAGGCAACGAACTTGAAAAACTTATGTTGAGGATATAGGAGAGGGAGTCCCTGGAGTGATGATGAAGCTTAGACCAGGTAAGAGTAGGATGATCGATGTCTAGAAGAATGAAGCATGCCGAGGCTGTGCTCCATCGCAAGGCTTTGTAGTAGCGAATCTCGATGCAAGGACGACACTTGCAGGGCATGGCGCCTCACGATCGCGATTCGCGACGCAAGGCTGCATCAGCCCACCTCCCAGGGCGTGAGCATGAAGCCGCGTAAGGAAAATGCCATTGTCGCGCCGCGCCGTGGAAATTAGTCCTGGATGTGGTATTCGTGGTCTATCTGCCACCGCGGGTTCATGGGTCCTGAAGAATCAAGGAAATTCGGAATCCGGCACAGCTCCCCTGTATCCGCTTGAATTCTTTTCTCAGCAAAATGGGTTGAGATAGTTTGGGTACGTTTGGAATCGGTTTGACGGGATGCCGCACATGGCTGTGCTGGTTGGGGGAGGAAAGAAGCACGGAGAAGCGATGATGGGCCAACATTTTCAAACCACCTGGGTTTCGCATGCAGACTTCGCGAATGTAAGAGACTTTCGTTCAAACATATTCAATCTCGCCAGAAAAGCTGATGCGACGCCTCTGGACTTCGCGAAGGTGATTTCTTGAATTGAAGTGGTTTTTTTCAATAATAAAACATTCCACAAACGGGATGGAGGCACTATCTGTTACAATGTAGCATAATTACGCAAGGAAAAGGAGTGGAAACGGGAAGAGAGGAGAAAAGGAGGAATAACGTGAGTAGAAAAAAGGAGAGAGGAAGAAAGGAGGAGGGGAATAGGGGAAAAATGATAGGAGGAAGAAAAACAGGGAAGAAGGAAGAAAAAGTAGCACACACAACCCCAAGAAAACCCCAATAGCACACACATTTAAAACACCATCAAGCCCTCCCATCAAAGCACCCCAACTGCACTCCCATCTTGAATTGAAGTTGTGAGCTGCGACGTGGGAACGTTGAAATTTGGGACCTGAACTGAAGTCCCTGAGTTTGTTTCCCCCACCTTTTGGAAAAAAAATCAAGTGTTCCGATATTCGAACTTTCACGGCATTTGAAGTTTCATAATGGCACACTACAAAAAAATTGTGAATCCAGAAAAGTCTCAGGTATCAGGCTTCAACATTCAATGTTGCTACGGTAGCAGGGTTCCTCATCTCCACTTGAATGCGACACCAGCAAAACAGATGTGGCAGCAAATGCTAAATATTCCCTCATGGCAGAAACCCTAGTACCGTATGTCCCCCTCCTCATCTCATTTAGCCATGATTTCCTCATCATGACACGAACAACAGGTACGGTATTGCACATCTACACGTCAGAATGCAACTATGATAGCTTCAATTCAACACAACATGTGATTAACCACAAGGACAATACTTCAACTACGTGCTAAGACACTTCATTTATTAACCGCTTCCTAATCAGTGAGCAATCCAACTCAATCCAAATCCAAACCAGTAGTCGCACGTTTCCTCTCCATCTCCTCTCGCCTCTCCTCCAACCGATCCCGCAATTCCTCCGGAGAATACAAACACTTGGTGCCACTCTTCATTCCTAGCGCCCGCCCCACATTTTTCACGTTCTTGGCAAATCCCCACGTTCCTGCCTTCCCCTTTCCTTTGCTCAAAGCCTTTCCCCTTGGGATCTCCCCATCAGGGCTTGAACCAATCAAGCTGGACATTCCCGAGGCACTTCTCTCCGAACCTACGCAGGCAGAGTCCAGGTTCTTGGGATCTGACCGTGTCAAGCCTACCCTTTCCGAAGCTGATCCGTCGCCCCTCGCTTGCTCTCGAGCCGATTTCGAGCGAACACAGATGTCTTGTCCATCCAACGGTCCCGATTCGTCCCCCATATTGTCCATCTCGGGATCATCTAGATCTTCAAACGACTTGGTTCGCCGATTCGCCTGACGAGGGCGGTTGTGGTGTCTAGGCTCAGTGTAGTGACGATTGAGCTCATGTGGTTCAGAGTCGTATCGATCCAGCTGGCTGGATTCCATGTCTTGACTGGAAATGGACTGAAAAGGACTCAGTTGACTGGTTTGACTGCCTAGACTGGTTTGACTGCCTTGACCGGCCCGGCTGCCTTGACCAGCTTGACTGGTTTGACTTGACTGACTCGAACTGGACGATCCCAGGAGCTTATTGATGAAGCGGGGGGAAGGGAGGGGGGAGAAGGAGACCCGGGAGGAGCCGGAAGGGGGGGTGCGGGCAGAGGAGGAGGCAGAGGAGGCGAGGTCTATGGCTGCTGCTGTGCGCACTGGCATGGGGATGGCTGGTGGTTTCACCCTCTCCCGCTGTTGCTCCCCTGCCGCTGCCGCCCCTGTTGCTTCTGCACTCCCTGCTGCTGCTGCTGCTGCTGCTGGTGGTGGTGCTGCTGCTGCTGTTGGCACTGACGCTGATGCGGCTTTAAGGCTTGGGTCAGCAAGAGAAGCAGGGGTCTCAGGCACAGAAGAAAAAGACAGAGAAGGAGCAGTAAAAGAGAAGGGACCGTCCCTCCACTCTTCCTCACCCTTTCCACCTTTACCAACCGCCTTCCCAGACCCCTCAAAAGCCTGCCCCGCTGCTGCCTGCTCCTCATTGCCCACCTCTGCTTTCCTCCCAGCATCCCCCAGCTTTTTCCCTGACCTCCTTCCAGAGACAGACCCAAGGGCAGCGACAGAGGCGGCAACAGAGGCAGGTGTGAGGCGGGTGGCCTTGCCCGCGACTCGACTCACGTGCGCAGCAGCGCCCCGCCATGCACCACCCCACCCCCGCGCAACAGAGCTCAATGCTACCCCGCTCACTGCCAGTGCACCCCCCTCCTTCCCCCCCCCACCTCTCCCGCTACATCCTTCCCTTCCCTCTCCTCTCCCACACCTTCTCCTTCCTCTCCTCCTCCCTCCTCTCCCTCAACCTCCTCTCCTCGCCCCTCCTCTCCTCCACACTCCACTCCCAAACCCTCCTCCCCTCCAGCCTTTGCTGCTCCCTCCTCTGCTGCTCCCTCCTCTACTGCTCCCTCCTCTGCTGCTCCCTCCTCTGCTGCTCCCTGCTCTGCTGCTCCCTGCTCTGCTGCTCCCTCCTCTGCTGCTCCCTCCTCGTGCCGTCTGCTCATGCCAATGGGCTCCTCTCTCCTCTCTCTCTCTTCCCCCCCCTCTCCTCTTCTCTCTTCCTCCCGCTCTCCTCTTCTCTCTTCCTCCTCCTCTCCCCCTCTTCTCTCTTCCTCCTCCTCTCCCCCTCTTCTCTCTTCCTCATGCTCCCCTCTTCTCTCGTCCTCCAACTTTCCTCCGCCACTCATTTCCCCATCAACCCGCTCTCTCCTTTGAGAATTCTCAAAAGTATCTAACCTCATTTCCGCATATAACCCATCCACAATCCTGCTGCTCTGTGAGTCCTCGCCTGCTACACACCCCCTCTCCACCTCCCCCCCACACTCTGCAGACCCCGTTCCCGCCTGCACCTCTGCATCTCTCAGCGTTTCATCTCCTTGCTCAAGCGCTTCATCTCCCATTTCCTTACTTCTGCCCCGCGTTTCATCTCCTTGATGCCACGTGTCACCTCCTCTGCCACTCACCACTGCTGCATCATTTCCCATTCCCCCTCTCCCATCACGTAAACCCCTACCTTCCCCACGAGAGTCTAGTGCTGGAGAATGCCTGTTTGCAGCACCCACCACTGCAGAGCCTGCTATTGACATTTGAGGCGCCTCAGAAATGCTGGCAGCACCCGATGAAGCGGAGGAGCCAGCTGCCAGCGACGACACGGCGGAACGAGCAGTCGCTGAATCAGCTGTTGACTTTTGAGGCACCTCAGCAGCACCCAACGACACTGAGGGCCATGCTGTCGACGAATCAGCGCCAGAGGCTCTTCGACTGCTCTTCTGCTTCCAGCCCATCCGCTCTCCGCTCTCCCCCTCTCCATTTTCCCTTTCACCGCTCTCCCTTTCGCTGCTCTCCCTTGCACTGCCCTCTTCCCGGCTGCTCTCCTCTGCCTCTGCCAGCCTCACTGCTTCACTTGCATAGCATCTGCCCATCTCACCCATGCTATGCGCGCTGCCCTCTCCACCTCCACTCCCTCTTCCATCCCCTCCCTTCTCCCTCGCTCTGTCCTCATCATTCTCCATCCTTCCCTCCTCTCTCACACCTCTTTCATCCCCCTCATCTCGCTCACCTCTTTCATTTCCCCCCTCGTTCTCAAGCCCATCACCTCTCACATCGTCCTCGAATCTTCTCTCACCTCCACCCTCTTCCCTCATACCATCATCCGTCCCCTCGCCACTCCTCACCCCCTCCCCAGTCCTCCCATGCTCCACACGTCTCTCTCTCCCTCCTCTCAGCTCAGCATCTGATTCTGCCTGTTCCCTTGCCCCTGCACAGACAGCACCGTCACTCACCGCTCTCCACCCATTCAACTCACAGCTCTTGACGCTCCTCCCAATCTCAGCGCCGTTCATGACATTCGTGACATCACTTGCATCACTGGCACAAGTGGCACAACAGCTTGCTGCTTCCACACTCGTCACAGGCACACTCGTTACAGGCACACTCGTCACAGGCACACTTATCTCCCACGCCCTCCCGTACTCAACCTCCCCATCTCCCTCCTCCCCATCTCCCTCCTCCCCATCTCCCTCCTCCCCATCTCCCTCCTCCCCATCTCCCTCCTCCCCATCTCCCTCCTCCCCATCTCCCTCCTCCCCATCTCCCTCCTCCCCATCTCCCTCCTCCCCATCTCCCTCCTCCCCATCTCCCTCCTCCCCATCTCCCTCCTCCCCATCTCCCTCCTCCCCATCTCCCTCCTCCCCATCTCCCTCCTCCCCATCTCCCTCCTCCCCATCTCCCTCCTCCCCATCTCCCTCCTCCCCATCTCCCTTCTCCCCATCTCCCTCCATGCCCTTCTCTCCCCCAAGCACATCCTCCACTGCAGCAAAGCTCTTCGCCTTGCCACCAGCTCCAAGTGACTTTTGAGTCGACTCAAAAGTCACCTCAAAGCTCTTCGCCTTGCCACCACCTCCAAACCACACCTCCCTCTGCCCATCGCCATCACACCCATGCGTTTCATTTACATCCTGCACCGTGTCATCTCCCCCCACCTCCGTTTCATCTCCCTCCACAGCCGTTTCATCTGCTTCAAAGCTGATTTCCTCCTCTACCGTCTTGCTGCGCGTGTGCCCTCTCCCAACACGCCTCATAGCCGCAAGACCCTTCCCTCCCAGCCCCATTCCAGGCAGCTTCCTATCCGCAAGGATGCTTAAAGCCTGACTGATAGCTCGACCTGTATCCGCTGCCCTTGACATCCCACCAAACGAATTCTTCCCCACAGCACTCCCAACAGCACTCCCAACAGCACTCCCAACACCACTCCCAACACCACTCCCAGCAGCACTCCCAACACCACTCCCAGCAGCACTCCCCTCAGAGACCACATTGGAAGCCATACGAGCACTTGCATTCCCTAGTGTGGAAGCAGAAGAAGCATCGTTTCTCCTAGCAGCACTCCTTAGAAGAGCCGCTGTAGCAGTGGAAGGATAGGGGATCCTCGATTCCCGTGCAGCCGCAATGGCAGCTGCAATAGCAGCAGCAGCACCGGCAGCACCGGTAACAACGGGAGCACTGGCAGCAGCAGCAGCAGCACAGGCAGCACTGGCAGCACCAGCGGCAGCAGCACCGGCAGCAGCAGCACCGGCAGCAGCAGCACCGGCAGCAGCACCGGCAGCAGCAGCACCGGCAGCAGCACCGGCAGCAGCACCGGCAGCAGCACCGGCAGCACTGGCAGCAGCAGCACCGGCAGCACTGGCAGCACTGGTGGCAGAGCGAGGAGTCAAGGCCTGAGAAGCGTCTATCAGTGCGCCCCACCTTCGCCTCAGCCCCTTGCCCTCCCCGCTCCTGCCACTGCCACCACCAGCACCAGAACCAACACCAATACCACTGCCACTGCCACTGCCACTGCCACTGCCACTGCCACTGCCACTGCCGCCATCACCAGAAGCAGCAGTGTCTACACTTGCCTCTGCACCCCGAGGGCTGTCCTTTCTCTCCATCATGGCCCCCAGTAGCAGATTCCTTAGCTCCATCCTCCTCATCAAACCACCTATCTTGCTCGCCTGCCCACCCTCCAACCCTCTTCTCAATTCCTCTTTGTTCTTCTGCCCGTTGGCCACCCTATCCTCTTCTCCATCCCCATTTCCCCTCTCCGCTTCTCCATCCCCATTTCCCCTCTCCGCTTCTCCATCCCCATTTCCCCTCTCCGCTTCTCCATCCCCATTTCCCCTCTCCGCTTCTCCATCCCCATTTCCCCTCTCCGCTTCTCCATCCTTCTCTTCCCCCTCCTCCTCTTCCTCCCACTCCTCCCCATCCTCCTCTCCTGCTAAACCCCCCTTCCTCCATTTCCTCGACATTTGCAGGCTCCTCTTGAGCTCTTTCTCTCGCACCGACTCCACCACACATTCCAGCACCGCATCCCACCCACCGGCACTGTGGCTCCTTCTCACCCCACCCCCTTCCCCACCATGTCCAATCCACACACCACCACCATCACCACCATCACCAGCACTACCAGCATCACAACCATCAGAGGCATATGCAGCCTCAGCAAAAGCAGCCTCACCAGCACCAGCAGACAAAGAAGAAACAGTATTGCGAGCACCAGCAGCATCAGCAGAGAGAGTGCGATTGTGGGCGATCCAAGAACCATCCTTCCTCTCCTGCATTCCCCCCAGCAGTATCCGCCTCACATCTCTCTTCCCCACCAAACCACCCACCCCATTCGCCTGCCCGTCCCTTCCACCCTCCCCTTCAAGACCACCACCGGCCTTGCTCTCTCCACCACCCATCTTTCGCTCCCCATTTCTCATCCCTTGTGGGTGACTTTTGACTCGACTCAAAAGTGCACCACCCATCGTTTGCTCTCCATGTCTAATCCCTTCTGCTCCTGCCCAGCCCGCTTCTCGTGCCGCGGCTGAACCCTGTACCTCCTTCAATGAGCCCTGTGCCGCGGCTGAGCCCTGTACCTCCTTCAATGAACCCTGTACCTCCTCCAGGGACCCCATGCTCCGCCCTGTGCCTCCCCTCCTCCTCCAACTTGCACCCTTCCAACTTCTCTCCCCCCTCCCCACTGCACTGCCCCCCTCGCTTCTCTTCCCTGCGACATGGCATGCTCCATTCACTCCCCCCTCCTCACTTCCCCCCTCCTCACTTCCCCCCTCCTCACTTCCCCCCTCCTCACTTCCCCCCTCCTCACTTCCCCCCTCCTCACTTCCCCCCTCCTCACTTCCCCTCTCTGCAGCTACCCGCTCCCGACCTTCCCCAACGTCAACTGCACCCAGCCCACCAGCTCTAACATTCTCCTTCCGCACACTCGCCCCTCCAGCCATCCCTCTTTCACCTTCTCCGTTTTCCACACGAGCAGATCCTTCCTCCTCTTCCTCCTCCTCCTCATCCTCCTCCTCTTCCTCCTCCTCCTCATCCTCCCCCTCCTCTCCCCCTCCCTCCCTCCTACTCCCCCTCGACATCTGAAAGCTCCTCTTAAGCTTCCGCCCTCGTGTTGACTCCACCAGCCTATCTGCCACCGCTTCCCACCCCCCATCACCGCTCTTTCTCCCCGTTCTTACCTTCTGCCCGCCTGCCCACCCCTTGAGTGATCCCCACAGGGACTTCCCACTACCCTCGCCCTCGCCCTTTTTCATCAGTCTATTCAGTGCTTTGCTCATACTACCACTACTGTTACTGCTTTCCCCTCCTGTACCACCGTACTTGCCTTTCTTGCTTCTGCCATCACCATAATCAGCATCAACATCCCCATTCTCAGTTTCCTCCTCCTCCTCTTCCTCCTCTTCCTCCTCTTCCTCTTCCTCCTCCTCCTCCTTTGCAGCTGCACCAGTAGAAGCAGCAACAGCACCAGCAGCAGCTGCACCAACACTATCATCCCCTGGACTTCCCGACTTCCCACCGCTGCTGCCAAACCACGACCACCACGAGCCACCCCTCCATCCCTTCTCCCCTTTCCCACCCCCCGCACCCACGTCCCCGCTCCCCAGCACCCCACCATCCCCCGCACCACTCCCCACTCCATCACCCCTGGGAGATGAGACGCGGGCAGACAGCTTGCCTTGAGAGGTAGAGGAGAAGGAGGAGGAGGAAAAGGAAGAGAGCTTTCTCTGGCGGGCGGAGAGGAGGGCGGCGGCAGTGGCACGCTGCGCGGCATCAGGGGCGAGTGGGCAGTCCCGGACCTTGGGGTCGCGGGCCTTCTCCGCTGCGGTTACCAGCACCTTCTCCTCTGGCGTGTAACTGCGGTATACCATCTGTTATGGCAGGGCATGACGGGGGGGTTGGGTGTGGGGGGAACGAGGGGGGCATGAGGCCTAGAGCCTTCTCCGCTGCCGTTACCAACACCTTCTCCTCTGGCGTGTAGCTGCGGTATACCATCTGGGTTGACGCATCAGGGAGGGAAAGAGGGGGAAATGGAGGAGGGTCATTATTGCAGCTTGGGTAGCGGGTTGACCGGCCCTACCTGCTGCTCATGCCTAGCAGCATGGAGAAACAAACAAGCAACATCCAGATTTCAAGTAATTATACCTCCTACAGTGCTTACCCATAGTGTACTGCACAGCAGGAATATCGGTAGTGTGATGGGAAGCTTTGGTGTGTGATAGGGGCGTTGGGAGCATGACAGGGAGTTTAGGGGTGTGATTTTGGACGTGATAGTGAGCTTGGGAGTGTGATAGTGAGCTTGGGAGTGTGATAGTGAGCTTGGGAGTGTGATAGTGAGCTTGGGAGTGTGATAGTGAGCTTGGGAGTGTGATAGTGAGCTTGGGAGTGTGATAGTGAGCTTGGGAGTGTGATAGTGAGCTTGGGAGTGTGATAGTGAGCTTGGGAGTGTGATAGTGAGCTTGGGAGTGTGATAGTGAGCTTGGGAGTGTGATAGTGAGCTTGGGAGTGTGATAGTGAGCTTGGGAGTGTGATAGTGAGCTTGGGAGTGTGATAGTGAGCTTGGGAGTGTGATAGTGAGCTTGGGAGTGTGATAGTGAGCTTGGGAGTGTGATAGTGAGCTTGGGAGTGTGATAGTGAGCTTGGGAGTGTGATAGTGAGCTTGGGAGTGTGATAGTGACCTTGGGAGTGTGATAGCGACCTTGGGAGTGTGATCGTGGCCTTGGGAGTGTGATAGGATCCCCATTTCCTCACCTGCAGAGTGATGCACCCCAGCTTGTGGTCGTTGAACCGCCTAGAACATCCACCACTCGCTCACCTGCAAAACTATTCCCCTCCATGTCCCCTACCTGCAAAACTATTCCCCTCCATGTCCCCTCACCTGCAGAGAGATGCACCCCAGCCCAGCTTGTGATCCATGCCCAGCATGCGGTCGTTGTTCAGCTTCGGCAGCAGTGCTTTTGAGACATCTCAAAATATGACTTCTATCAAAAGCCTACACAGTGATGCGACCTGTTTGTCCCCTCACCTGCAGAGTGATGCTCCCCAGCTTATGGTCGATGCCCAGCATGCGGTCGTTGTTCAGCTTCGGCAGCAGCGTGAGCGTGACCGTCTGCACTGTGTCCTTATCGAGGAGGCCCACTAAAGGGTACATGGCGTACCCCAGGTTCTGAGTCCCAAAGCTGTCCTCGTCCTCCACCTAGAGACAGGGGGGAATCATACAAGGAAGTCAGAGGGGAATCATACAAGGAAGTCAGAGGGGAATCATACAAGGAAGTCAGGGGGGAATCACCAGGGGGGGATTAACAGAGGAAAACTGCAGACAGAAAATCACAGACGAGTTTCTCACAGCAGAATAAAAAAACAGGAATATCTCATTGGGGAATATGTTGGCACTTCCATTGGGGAATATGTTGGCACTTCCATTGGGGAATATGTTGGCGCTTCCATTGGGGAATATGTTGGCACTTCCATTGGGGAATATGTTGGCACTTCCATTGGGGAATATGTTGGCACTTCCATTGGGGAATATGTTGGCACTTCCATTGGGGAATATGTTGGCACTTCCATTGGGGAATATGTTGGCACTTCCATTGGGGAATATGTTGGCACTTCCATTGGGGAATATGTTGGCACTTCCATTGGGGAATATGTTGGCACTTCCATTGGGGAATATGTTGGCACTTCCATTGGGGAATATGCTGGCACTTCCATTGGGGAATATGCTGGCACTTCCATTGGGGAATATGTTGGCACTTCCATTGGGGAATATGTTGGCACTTCCATTGGGGAATATGTTGGCACTTCCATTGGGGAATATGTTGGCACTTCCATTGGGGAATATGTTGGCACTTCCATTGGGGAATATGTTGGCACTTCCATTTGGGTATATGTTGGCACTTCCATTGGGGAATATGTTGGCACTTCCATTGGGGAATATGTTGGCACTTCCATGGGGGAATATGTTGGCACTTCCATTGGGGAATATGTTGGCACTTCCATTGGGGAATATGTTGGCACTTCCATTGGGGAATATGTTGGCACTTCCATTGGGGAATATGTTGGCACTTCCATTGGGGAATATGTTGGCACTTCCATTGGGGAATATGTTGGCACTTCCATTGGGGAATATGTTGGCACTTCCATTGGGGAATATGTTGGCACTTCCATTGGGGAATATGTTGGCACTTCCATTGGGGAATATGTTGGCACTTCCATTGGGGAATATGTTGGCACTTCCATTGGGGAATATGTTGGCACTTCCATTGGGGAATATGTTGGCACTTCCATTGGGGAATATGTTGGCACTTCCATTGGGGAGTATGTTGGCACTTCCATTGGGGAATATGTTGGCACTTCCATTGGGGAATATGTTGGCACTTCCATTGGGGAATATGTTGGCACTTCCATTGGGGAATATGTTGGCACTTCCATTGGGGAATATGTTGGCACTTCCATTGGGGAATATGTTGGCACTTCCATTGGGGAATATGTTGGCACTTCCATTGGGGAATATGTTGGCACTTCCATTGGGGAATATGTTGGCACTTCCATTGGGGAATATGTTGGCACTTCCATTGGGGAATATGTTGGCACTTCCATTGGGGAATATGTTGGCACTTCCATTGGGGAATATGTTGGCACTTTGGCAGTGTTGCCAATCAATGAGAGAATCGCTCTTGAGGTGAGTTCCAAGGGCTCTTGAGGTGAGTTCCAAGGGCTCTTGAGGTGAGTTCCAAGGGCTCTCGAGGTGAGTTCCAAGGGCTCTTGAGGTGAGTTTCTCAAAACGGGCTCTTGAGGAAGATTGTCCAAGCAAGCAGCAGCCAGGCAAAGCAAGCAGCAGCCAGGCAAAGCAAGCAGCAGCCAGGCAAAGCAAGCAGCAGCCAGGCAAAGCAAGCAGCAGCCAGGCGAAGCAAGCAGCAGCCAGGCGAAGCAAGCAGCAGCCAGGCGAAGCAAGCAGCAGCCAGGCAAAGCAAGCAGCAGCCAGGCGAAGCAAGCAGCAGCCAGGCAAAGCAAGCAGAGGCGGGCGGGGCAGCGCAGCCCAAAAGGTTGCGGGCGGGCATACCTGAATGAAGAGCTCCGCGGTGTGGATGTCGTCCACGGGCAGCTCGAAAGTTTCGTTCCAGACCGGGTTGAGATCGTTGTCGATGGTGCGGGTGACGGCCTTGTGCTTGCAGTGCGTCCAGAGAATGGCAAAGGGGTCCGACACGCTCATCATATCCACGTTCTTCAGCCCCTCCGCCTTCCACGCGGTTACCACCAGGGAACCTTCATAGTGCATCTCGAGTGAGCTGACAAAGATTGGGCAAGGGTGGGTGGGGGGAGAGAGGGATAGCAAAGGGGCCCGACCGACACGCTCATTATGTCCGACACGCTCATTATGTCCGACACGCTCATTATGTCCACGTTGTTCAGCCCCTCCGCTCTCCATGCGGTCACCACCAGTGAGCCCTCGTAGTGCATCTCGAGTGAGCTGAGGGGTGGGGCAGGGGGAGAGAGGGACGGCAAAGGGTCGGATACACTCATCGCATGACATGACATGACATGACATGACATGACATGACATGACATGACATGACATGACATGACATGACATGACATCCCATCCCATCCCATCACATCACACCACACCACACCACACCACACCACACCACACCACACCACATCACACCACACCACACCACACCACAACACACCACACCACACCACACCACACCACACCACACCACACCAAACCGCACCGCATCAAATCATATCCACGGTCATTGGCGAGCAAGAGCCTCACCTGGAATCAAAGGCGGGGCCGACTGGCACAGCAATGTGCTCGGACGAGAGCACAGAGTTCCCAATCGTGCTGCCAGACAACTTTTGAGACGCCTCAAAAAGCGTTGTGTAAGACGCCTCAAAAAGCGCTGTGTAAGACGCCTCAAAAAGCGTTGTGTAAGACGCCTCAAAAAGCGTTGTGTAAGAAGCCTCAAAAAGCGTTGTGTAAGACGTCACAAAATGCGTTCGGGCCAGAGAACAGTGTTCCCGATCGTGCTCCTGGTCTCACCTAGCGTCGAACGAGGGGCAGAGAGGCACGACGATGCGCTCGGGCCACATGAGCGTGCTCTCGATGGCGCCGTGCACCGTGCTCTCTATCATCCCCGCCAGCCCCGGTATGGACGACAGCTGCCCCCCGATCGCCTTCAGCTTGTATTCGATCCGCATTCGTGGCTGGGGGGGGGGTGGGGGGAAGAGGGTGGGGAGCTGACTTTTGAGTCGACTCAAAAGTTCTCTCGATCATCCCGCCAGCCCCGGGATGGACGACAGCTGCCCCCCGATCGCCTTCAGCTTGTACTCGATCCGCATTCGTGGCTGGGGGGGGGGGGGGGGGAAGAGGGTGGGGAGCTGACTTTTGAATCGACTCAAAAGTTCTCTCGATCATCCCCGCCAGCCCCGGGATGGACGACAGCTGCCCCCCGATCGCCTTCAGCTTGTACTCTATCCGCATTCGTGGCTGGGGGGGGGGGGGGGGGAAGGAGAAGAGGGTGGGGAGCTGACTTTTGAGTCGACTCAAAAGTTTCTCTCGATCATCCCCCCAGCCCCGGGATGGACGACAGCTGCCCCCCGATCGCCTTCAGCTTGTACTCTATCCGCATTCGTGGCTGGGAGCGGTGAAGGGTTGGGAGAGGGGGGGAGGAGGGGGGAGGATGGGGCAGGAGGGAGGAGGAGGGGGAAGGAGGAGGGTGTGGGGGGGTTGGAGAAAAATGGGCAAGGGGAAAGAGGATGAGAAGGGAAGCCTGACAGACAGCCCCCCGATCGCCTTGAGCAATTGATCCGCATGCGCGGCTGGGAGCAATGGAAGAAGGGAGGAGAAGCGAGAGGACGAGAGGGTGCTGTGCTCGGCAGGCAACTGAGCTATAGACGATGCACAGACTTGACTCGAGGGAGAGCCTAGTTTTGAGGCGCCTCAAGGCGAGAGGACGAGAGGGTGCTGTGCTCGGCAGGCAACTGAGCTATAGACGATGCACAGACTTGACTCGAGGGAGAGCCTAGTTTTGAGGCGCCTCAAGGCGAGAGGACGAGAGGGTGCTGTGCTCGGCAGGCAACTGAGCTATAGACGATGCACGGACTTGACTCGAGGGAGAGCCTAGTTTTGAGGCGCCTCAAGGCGAGAGGACGAGAGGGTGCTGTGCTCGGCAGGCAACTGAGCTATAGACGATGCACGGACTTGACTCGAGGGAGAGCCTAGTTTTGAGGCGCCTCAAGGCGAGAGGACGAGAGGGTGCTGTGCTCGGCAGGCAACTGAGCTATAGACGATGCACGGACTTGACTCGAGGGAGAGCCTAGTTTTGAGGCGCCTCAAGGCGAGAGGACGAGAGGGTGCTGTGCTCGGCAGGCAACTGAGCTATAGACGATGCACGGACTTGACTCGAGGGAGAGCCTAGTTTTGAGGCGCCTCAAGGCGAGAGGACGAGAGGGTGCTGTGCTCGGCAGGCAACTGAGCTATAGACGATGCACGGACTTGACTCGAGGGAGAGCCTAGTTTTGAGGCGCCTCAAGGCGAGAGGACGAGAGGGTGCTGTGCTCGGCAGGCAACTGAGCTATAGACGATGCACGGACTTGACTCGAGGGAGAGCCTAGTTTTGAGGCGCCTCAAGGCGAGAGGACGAGAGGGTGCTGTGCTCGGCAGGCAACTGAGCTATAGACGATGCACGGACTTGACTCGAGGGAGAGCCTAGTTTTGAGGCGCCTCAAGGCGAGAGGACGAGAGGGTGCTGTGCTCGGCAGGCAACTGAGCTATAGACGATGCACGGACTTGACTCGAGGGAGAGCCTAGTTTTGAGGCGCCTCAAGGCGAGAGGACGAGAGGGTGCTGTGCTCGGCAGGCAACTGAGCTATAGACGATGCACGGACTTGACTCGAGGGAGAGCCTAGTTTTGAGGCGCCTCAAGGCGAGAGGACGAGAGGGTGCTGTGCTCGGCAGGCAACTGAGCTATAGACGATGCACAGACTTGACTCGAGGGAGAGCCTAGTTTTGAGGCGCCTCAAGGCGAGAGGACGAGAGGGTGCTGTGCTCGGCAGGCAACTGAGCTATAGACGATGCACAGACTTGACTCGAGGGAGAGCCTAGTTTTGAGGCGCCTCAAGGCGAGAGGACGAGAGGGTGCTGTGTTCGGCAGGCAACTGAGCTATAGACGATGCACAGACTTGACTCGAGGGAGAGCCTAGTTTTGAGGCGCCTCAAGGCGAGAGGACGAGAGGGTGCTGTGCTCGGCAGGCAACTGAGCTATAGACGATGCACAGACTTGACTCGAGGGAGAGCCTAGTTTTGAGGCGCCTCAAGGCGAGAGGACGAGAGGGTGCTGTGCTCGGCAGGCAACTGAGCTATAGACGATGCACAGACTTGACTCGAGGGAGAGCCTAGTTTTGAGGCGCCTCAAGGCGAGAGGACGAGAGGGTGCTGTGCTCGGCAGGCAACTGAGCTATAGACGATGCACAGACTTGACTCGAGGGAGAGCCTAGTTTTGAGGCGCCTCAAGGCGAGAGGACGAGAGGGTGCTGTGCTCGGCAGGCAACTGAGCTATAGACGATGCACAGACTTGACTCGAGGGAGAGCCTAGTTTTGAGGCGCCTCAAGGCGAGAGGACGAGAGGGTGCTGTGCTCGGCAGGCAACTGAGCTATAGACGATGCACAGACTTGACTCGAGGGAGAGCCTAGTTTTGAGGCGCCTCAAGGCGAGAGGACGAGAGGGTGCTGTGCTCGGCAGGCAACTGAGCTATAGACGATGCACAGACTTGACTCGAGGGAGAGCCTAGTTTTGAGGCGCCTCAAGGCGAGAGGACGAGAGGGTGCTGTGCTCGGCAGGCAACTGAGCTATAGACGATGCACAGACTTGACTCGAGGGAGAGCCTAGATTTGAGGCGCCTCAAGGCGAGAGGACGAGAGGGTGCTGTGCTCGGCAGGCAACTGAGCTATAGACGATGCACAGACTTGACTCGAGGGAGAGCCTAGTTTTGAGGCGCCTCAAGGCGAGAGGACGAGAGGGTGCTGTGCTCGGCAGGCAACTGAGCTATAGACGATGCACAGACTTGACTCGAGGGAGAGCCTAGTTTTGAGGCGCCTCAAGGCGAGAGGACGAGAGGGTGCTGTGCTCGGCAGGCAACTGAGCTATAGACGATGCACAGACTTGACTCGAGGGAGAGCCTAGTTTTGAGGCGCCTCAAGGCGAGAGGACGAGAGGGTGCTGTGCTCGGCAGGCAACTGAGCTATAGACGATGCACAGACTTGACTCGAGGGAGAGCCTAGTTTTGAGGCGCCTCAAGGCGAGAGGACGAGAGGGTGCTGTGCTCGGCAGGCAACTGAGCTATAGACGATGCACAGACTTGACTCGAGGGAGAGCCTAGTTTTGAGGCGCCTCAAGGCGAGAGGACGAGAGGGTGCTGTGCTCGGCAGGCAACTGAGCTATAGACGATGCACAGACTTGACTCGAGGGAGAGCCTAGTTTTGAGGCGCCTCAAGGCGAGAGGACGAGAGGGTGCTGTGCTCGGCAGGCAACTGAGCTATAGACGATGCACAGACTTGACTCGAGGGAGAGCCTAGTTTTGAGGCGCCTCAAGGCGAGAGGACGAGAGGGTGCTGTGCTCGGCAGGCAACTGAGCTATAGACGATGCACAGACTTGACTCGAGGGAGAGCCTAGTTTTGAGGCGCCTCAAGGCGAGAGGACGAGAGGGTGCTGTGCTCGGCAGGCAACTGAGCTATAGACGATGCACAGACTTGACTCGAGGGAGAGCCTAGTTTTGAGGCGCCTCAAGGCGAGAGGACGAGAGGGTGCTGTGCTCGGCAGGCAACTGAGCTATAGACGATGCACAGACTTGACTCGAGGGAGAGCCTAGATTTGAGGCGCCTCAAGGCGAGAGGACGAGAGGGTGCTGTGCTCGGCAGGCAACTGAGCTATAGACGATGCACAGACTTGACTCGAGGGAGAGCCTAGTTTTGAGGCGCCTCAAGGCGAGAGGACGAGAGGGTGCTGTGCTCGGCAGGCAACTGAGCTATAGACGATGCACAGACTTGACTCGAGGGAGAGCCTAGTTTTGAGGCGCCTCAAGGCGAGAGGACGAGAGGGTGCTGTGCTCGGCAGGCAACTGAGCTATAGACGATGCACAGACTTGACTCGAGGGAGAGCCTAGTTTTGAGGCGCCTCAAGGCGAGAGGACGAGAGGGTGCTGTGCTCGGCAGGCAACTGAGCTATAGACGATGCACAGACTTGACTCGAGGGAGAGCCTAGTTTTGAGGCGCCTCAAGGCGAGAGGACGAGAGGGTGCTGTGCTCGGCAGGCAACTGAGCTATAGACGATGCACAGACTTGACTCGAGGGAGAGCCTAGTTTTGAGGCGCCTCAAGGCGAGAGGACGAGAGGGTGCTGTGCTCGGCAGGCAACTGAGCTATAGACGATGCACAGACTTGACTCGAGGGAGAGCCTAGTTTTGAGGCGCCTCAAGGCGAGAGGACGAGAGGGTGCTGTGCTCGGCAGGCAACTGAGCTATAGACGATGCACAGACTTGACTCGAGGGAGAGCCTAGTTTTGAGGCGCCTCAAGGCGAGAGGACGAGAGGGTGCTGTGCTCGGCAGGCAACTGAGCTATAGACGATGCACAGACTTGACTCGAGGGAGAGCCTAGTTTTGAGGCGCCTCAAGGCGAGAGGACGAGAGGGTGCTGTGCTCGGCAGGCAACTGAGCTATAGACGATGCACAGACTTGACTCGAGGGAGAGCCTAGTTTTGAGGCGCCTCAAGGCGAGAGGACGAGAGGGTGCTGTGCTCGGCAGGCAACTGAGCTATAGACGATGCACAGACTTGACTCGAGGGAGAGCCTAGTTTTGAGGCGCCTCAAGGCGAGAGGACGAGAGGGTGCTGTGCTCGGCAGGCAACTGAGCTATAGACGATGCACAGACTTGACTCGAGGGAGAGCCTAGTTTTGAGGCGCCTCAAGGCGAGAGGACGAGAGGGTGCTGTGCTCGGCAGGCAACTGAGCTATAGACGATGCACAGACTTGACTCGAGGGAGAGCCTAGTTTTGAGGCGCCTCAAGGCGAGAGGACGAGAGGGTGCTGTGCTCGGCAGGCAACTGAGCTATAGACGATGCACAGACTGGACTCGAGGGAGAGCCTAGTTTTGAGGCGCCTCAAGGCGAGAGGACGAGAGGGTGCTGTGCTCGGCAGGCAACTG